GGCCATAGGGAAGGGAGGGCTTTTGGAATATGTGTGTTCCCATAGCGTCGTTGATGCCCTTGGATATGGCGCAGACGAAGGAGGATGACGTGGACGATGAGGAACGGAAAGCTGGACAATGACCAGGGAAAAGACGACGAAAACGGGGAGAATAACGAAGTCTGTCTTCTTTTTCTTTTTCTTTTTTCCCAGCTATGCCAGCGCTGAGCAGAAATGGGGAGAAAGAGAAAAAGGGAAACGAAAAGACAATGGTGTATCTGATAAGAAATGTATATATGAGCTATGTTTCCTGTCCTCTCCTCCCCCTTCCTCGTGTTCACTTCGGGACTGTACACTACTCCCCTTTCATTCGCTGCAAAACACTCAGTCCACACTACGCGTTTGGCAGAACTCTATGTGTGCAAAAAGAGAGAGAGAGAGAGACAAAGATCCACCTGGTTTGTGGTTCGCTTTTCTTGCCTTGCATAGACTGGGAACAAATTGTCTACACAGCTCCCTGTCCCCATTCCTCTCCTCCCCCTTCCACATGTTCTCTTCAAAACTCTCCACTGCTCCCCTTTCATTCACTGCCAAATACTCGCTCCACGCCGCAGCGACGCTGCGGAAGGTCCACTTGTAATAATAATAATAATAACAACAACAATAATAGTAATAGTAATATTAACATTAGTAATAATACTAGTAATAGTACTAATTAAATAATAAAGATAATATAATAATAATGGGTTATAAACGTTTTCTAACTTTTCTGCAGTACTGCTCTATGGGCACTTCCTCTTCCACGAGCGCGGATGGCTAACAGGCACAAATCAAGGGAAGGAGGGCAAGATTGCCACCTCCCAGAGGGAAAGGGGGGAGGGGGAGACGAAGGGGCGAGGAAGCTCCGAGTCGAGTAAGCATGCAGCCAGGCCTCTCTACATCTCAATATGCAAATCAGGGAACAACATGCAGTGTAGTCTCTGCACACGAGAAGGTGGACTCGGGCTGCATCTGGCTATTATTGCGATCAGGTGCATACAGGGAAGCCCGAGAACGAGTATGCCCCCAATTTGAGAGGGGAAAGCGAGCCGTTTTCAGTCGGATTTAATGGCAATTCTGTCAACCTTTTAGTGGAAAAACTGCAAAGAAAGCAAAACGTACAGCACGGCGTATGCCCCCACTTTGGGGAAAGAGAGTGGTTTACAGTTGGATTTCATGACAATCCTGTCATCCTTTTATTAGAGAAATGGCAAAGAAAGCGGAACGTACAGCATCGCTAACGCCACGCGGCCCGTCCTCGGGGCAGCTGCCGGCCGCTATGCCCGGCGCTTCCTGCTGCTTGTTGTATGCCTATAGGAAGAGGTGGGGGAGCCGGGAAGGGAAAGAGGAAGAGAAGAGCTACTGAGGCTGTCCATCCTGCCGATTAACGCCGATTAACCCTGTTGGCTCAAAATCACGGAGCGATGACATGGCAGCCAGCGAGTTAACATGGTCACACATGGACTATCACCACTGAATGTGGCCAAACCTACGACCAGATGCATTCTATCGACGCCGTCCACACGCTAATAAGAAAGCTGCAAATGCGCCCAAACCAGTGTCAATCCTGTTTCAACAGGTCAATGAGAAGGGCAGCTAACCAATCCTGAACCAGCCACCGAACTTAATCACCAGGAAGATTATAACATTAGTGGCGCCCCCCAGCAACGCCATCTTCATACATAAGAGCAGGATCTCCAGGGGCATGATTCCCCCCTGGCCATAATTAGGCATTTCTGACCGTCAGTTCTGCAGATCAATGGCCAAACCGTTCCACAATGGTGGAATCTTATCTCGGAGCGTGCTAACAGCAGGGCATTTCCTCGATGTAAAACAACATGGCCGCAACGGTGGCCGCAGTCAGTTAGAAGAAGGCTTGTAGCGCATACTGACACTGAGAAAGCGCTACCTTTCCGACTGAAGCTAGGGCTGCCCAATTGCAGCCGCGCGCATTCAGGAAGAGGAAAGTTCCCACTGTGTGGATGCCCTCAGGCCATACTCACACTAGCACTTATCTAAATGCATCCGACTGCAATTACGCCTACACCTGGATGCATCTGATGGTAATCATGTCCAGAGTGCAGTTGAAAAAGTCCTAGTGTGAGTATGCCCTCAGTATACATAGTATGGCCTAAGAGATGGACGACAAACATAGACTACCTACTAACTACGAAGAGCTGATGAATGATGAACACATGAGCACAGACACGCACGATAGCAGCCGGGATGTCTTGGTAACATGTCCCTGTCCCTTCAGCCGAGTGCCATGTGCCGAGTGCCGATCGCCAACATGTCCCTGTCCCTTCAGCCGGCCCATGATTCACGCCCCATGGGTATCTGGTCAAGTCTGCAGCAAAGGGTGGCTTGTTCGCCCTGTTGGCTGTGGTAGCCGTCAAACTGTTTCCTAACAGGGCGGCAGAAGGTTTCCCACCATTGCCGCATCACTTAACGGCAATGGCAAGGGTGCGCCCCACGTCTTATCTCCGTGATTGCGCAGTGGAGCATAGCATCCCCGTCCCGTCGTTGGCTAAAATAAACGTTGTCGAACTGATTCATAACTGGGCAGCAGTTTCCCGCCATGCTTGCAACACATGACAGGGATCCCATGGGATCACTCCACGTCCCGATCTCTTTTGCCGACCCATGCCTTACGCCCCACGTTACCTCTGCGACTGTGCAGCAAAGAATTCCTTCCCCATCCCAGCTGGCTACATAGCCCGCGACGAACTGATCCGTACGCAGCAGGGCTGCCAAAGGCTATTCAGCACTGCTGCACCGCTATCCCAAGCGATTGCATCACTTTCCGATCCCTTCTCCCGGCCAATTGCCTTGCACAGATGCTATCTCTGCGACTGTGTGGCGGAGCATAGCGTCCCTTCCCAGTCCCCATTCGCAAGCCGTTATCTAACTGATGCATAAAAGTGCTGCCCAAGGCTTTACCCCCCGCCGTTGCTGTGCCCCACTTGTCAGTGATCCCGAGGGACCGTTCCATGTCCCGATCACGATCCCCTCTGCCGACCCATTGACTCCGCCTCGTGCTATCTTTCCAACTCTGCAGTCAAGCATAGCTTCTCTGCCCCCCTTGCCCCATTGGCTAGCCCCATTGAACTGATTCCCTGAGTCCGCAGAAGGTGTCCCGCCCCTGCACCTCGCTTGACGGCGATCCTGCCGGATCGTTACACGTCTTGATCCAAATCCCCTCTGCCAGCCCATTGTCTTACGCCTCATGCTATCTTTTCGACTGTGCCGCAGGGCATAGCTTCTCTGCCTCCCCTGCCGTGTTGGCTATCCGCCGACGAATTGATCCCTCCAGTCCACAGAAGGTGTCCCGCCATTGCTGCACCGCTTGTTGGCGGTCCCAAAGCTTGTGATGCACCTCTGTGTCCAACAGGCCCATGTCCTCATTGAAAGTCAATATCTTGTACGGTCGAAAATACCCCATCATGCCCTCCTTGAACCACATGTCCACAATGTAAGACGGTGAAACCCGGTGCTTGGATGACGATGAATACCAATCATAGAAGTACTCATTTAGGAACCCTTCCGCATCAGGACCGCGAATGTTCGGCAACAGATTAGCCTTTTGCAGAAGATCCTGGAATGTCTCCGTGCATGGTTGGATAACCAAAACCCTCGAGGAGAATTGATCAGGGGGAAACACAGCAGGGCCCGCCGCAAATGGCTGATAATCAAAGAGCGAATTTACATTGTCAACAAAGAGGGACATGGGATTGACGTAGACCACCTTCGCCCACTCCGTGAGATTCCAAAGATAGAGGACATTGAACTCCTCGCCAAGAGTCACTATGCCACTGTCACCTGTCTTCTCCTTCTCCTCTTTTCTCGCCGATTGTTCTGGTTGTGAGATGTTTCCTTGGGAGGGTAGAGCCAGTTCCTTGATGCCAGTGCTCAGCTTCTTGCCTGATTCCTCCCCGCCGCCATTATTTGTACCGTTGGACCCCATGTTGCTTTCTTGAAGCTGGTTCAACCGCCTACCACCAAGGCGTACCTGAAGGGGCGGGACTACTTTAACTTGGTCAAATAAGGGGACTAACGGGTCCCAGAGATCCTTCCTAAGTCCCGAGGGCACCATCAGCATAATGCGTCGGGAAGGATTATTTGATCCATGGTGTTTACGATAGGACGCAGCCCAAACGGCAGCAGCCGCCACCGTTCTCTCAGTAACAAGAGTAACGAGCACCTCGTCTTTAGGGTCAGTCCACAAAGGAATTAGACTCCGGACTGGAGAATGCCGGGGCCGGGGGAGGGGGGAAAAGGATGGAGGAGGAGTAGGAGTGGAAGTGGCGGCGGCAGAGGAGGAGGGGACTGTAGGTGGTTGAAAATGGCCTCCTGCCATTTTAATTGCATCGTAGGCGGGATACCATTCTGGGTGAGGAAGGAAACGTACCGGAGACACCAGTTCTGGCGGGTCAATTGGAGCCCATGAGTTCTGTTGCAAATCGGCTGCCAAACCTCGCCAAGCCGTGCACCAGACGTTCCCACAGGTAGTCATGTTCGGGTTCCACGGTTTGAACCACGGGTTAGCAAAGTGAATCACTCTGATTGGCCCCCCTCTTCGTTCTGAAACTCCTCCTCCTCCTCCTGCTGACGATGACGACTTTGATGACGATGATGAGAAATCTCTGTCCACGTACAGGAACTCGTCGGCCCGATTTGCATCGAACCATTGCGGTGAATGGTAATGACTTGGGAAGTTCACAATGGTGTTAAAACGGAAATGCAGCCTATGCTCGCTCGGCATGTCGTACCACCCGTCGAAGTAAGAGTTGAAAAAACCCTGATCACCGTGATTATAAGATGGCAATCTTGAGGTGGCTGACGCCAAGTCGGTGTACGTGGCTTGTGACGGTTTCAGGACCATCAATCCACTATTAAACCGATTGCCTATGTATATGTCAGGCGCCGCTGCCGGCTCTGGTCGATCGAACAGCTCGTCCAGGTTGTCCAACACTAGCATATCAACGTCAAGGAAGACCACCTTCGAGTACTCTGTCAACAGCCATGCATTGATCTTGTCAAACCCTACAACCCCATTAGGATTTTCAACCTTGTTCACAACCTTCACCACATCGTAATGCGCAAACAACGCCTTCACCATCGTAGTGGTCTCATCGTCGTCCATTCCTGGTCTATACACTTCTGCCGCCGCCCTCTCCCCTTCCTCTGTCCCGTTCCTGGCCGTCCTCTCCATCTCCCAGTACTTCTCCACAATGGGTTTCAAATCGCCCATCGAACTGCTGACCATCAACACGAGATGGTGTGCAGTTCCTGCGCTTCGCAAAGACTGCGCAAGCACCAGCGCTGTCCTAATCAATGACACGGAGCTGACCAAGGTGGCATACGCGTACCTCTGTTGTTTGACCACGATGTGTTCCCCAACCACTCTCCGCACTTGCAATCGCGTTGACGCATATGTTTCACAATTAACCAAGTAGGAGTGCTTCTCGCACACTGCCTCTTGCTCCACCTGTGCTGCGACCATCCCATGGTTGTACTGCAAGGGCATGCCGCCCCACAGCCGCACGAACTCGGCAATACAGTCGGCCCGGGCCACCTGATGGCCCTGCTTGCTCGACACCGCGCCGTTAATCAGGTGCTTCTGGGAGTTGCGCGAGTCCCCCCAATCTCTCGTCTTGCCTTGGACAAGGAGAGGTGACAGGTGGCTGAGGTTGGAAACGAGGAAGTTCATTGCTATGTCCTCGCAATTGGACCCCTTCTCGACGTACTCCCGCACCCCCGGCGCATTATGGCAGGTGTACATGTACAGGTATTCGGTGGACAACACCATAAACTTCGTGAGCATCATGGAGTAGAACTCGCGAGAGTACATATACCTCCAGGCATGCGTGTTGGGATCGAGCCAATGCGCTCTCGGAAAGAAACCGACAATGCGTGCACGATTCTCCCGCCATACCGTTAGTGCAAACGCTAAACTCTCTACCTTCTCCAATCCGATGTCGTCGTCCGCAATGATAATCGCTGCAGTCTTGATGAATTCGCGGGGAAGAAAGCGGTCATTGAAACTCAGCGAATTCTGCCGAATGACGCGGATTGGAGCGCCATCGCTCGGGAATTCGCGGTCTTGCGGAGCTGTGTTGTTGAACCAAAGGACAAAGATTTCACTGACAACTGGGCTACTGGAAAACATGCGCAAATTCTCACGCAGAAGAGGTAGCCGAGACTCCAGGCAACTACTCACTAGAATCGTCACTTTGTCATCTTGTAGATCGGATACAGCAGGATAGCGACTTCGATCGCATACGCCATTCCCCGAGGAGACATTCACCTTTACCACCTCTTTCCCCTCCGTCACCTGTTTTGCCTCCACCACCTCCTCCTTGGCCTTCAAGTCATTCCCTCGCTGCTGCTGCTGAGTCTGCAGAGTCATACTCTTAACGCTAGGAGGCGCGCTGATATTGACAACTGAACGAGAGTGCACATTGGTGGCCACAGTCATCATACGTTGGTGGAGATTGGTAGCCTTCGCCTCAATCATCGGTTCAGAGGCCGAGGAGTGCGAGGGGGTAGCATAAGCCATAATACGCGAGCGCGCATTTCGTGTGTAGACAGCGGCAAGCCAGCATGACCAGCACAAACCGAGGAAGAGAAAGAATACCCAGATCAAACGGGGGAAGGATCTGAAAGACTGAAGACGGCCCCTCACTCCGGGGCCATGTTTCGGACACCAGGTATCCATACTGAGGACAATGGAATAGCCAGCAGCGGGGCCGCTTGGAGGCAGGGGCAGGAGTGAGGGTGGGCGCGGCGGTGGGTGCCAGGGCTGGGGCCGGGCGTGGGTGAGACGGCCAGGGGGCGGGGGGCGAGGGCAAAGTGGGGGTAGAAGAACGAATCAAAAGCTCCTTTCCTCCCTCCCTACTGACCCTTCTGGCAAATGACAAGATGGGTCGTCCTTCGCCACCGCAGTCTCCTTCTCGCAAATCGAGCCTCCCTACTCGCCTTGCCAGCCAAGTTTAGTTTGTGTTAGTGGCTGTGCATCCACCTCCCTTGGTCTGATCACAGCCCTCTCTCTCATCTCTCTCTTTTCTTATTTGCATTCCGTCCACTTGAACACCCTTGGTAAGCATTCATGCGGCCCATATTCCTCTCTCTCTCTCTCTCTCTCTCTCTCTCTCTCTCTCTCTCTCTCTCTCTCTCTCTCTCTCTCNCTCTCTCTCTCTCTCTCTCTCTCTCTCTCTCTCTCTCTCTCTCTCACCCCCCCTCCCCCTTCAAACACTCACAGAGGCACGCACACCTGTTTGTTTCCTTCACCCCTTGCACATGTACTCGCCGACCCTTGCTCTTTCATGTCCTCTGCCCTCTCGTTCAGTTGGTCTATCACTCTCAGCAGACCCGTTTTCGACCGCCCAGAAGCAATCCCTTGTCCACCCTCCACTCTAGCTCTTGACCTCCCTCCTTGCAGCTGCTTGCCATGTGTCAAAGGGAGTTCTCCATTTGCCAAAGGAGGAGACGGCATCACCTCTCAGCCTCTGCAACTGGCTGCTTGCCATCAGTCCTAGGGAGTTCCCGGTCCCTGATGGAGAGAACGAGTCGCCTCTTGCCCTCTCCCGGCTACTTGGATTGGTCTTGCAACTGCCTGAACACCTTCTCTATTCCAGCCCTCTGTCCCAGAAACAAGCCCAGACATCAAGGATATCGAAACCATCAGAAGGAGGGAAGCGACAATGAAATTGATTCCATGATCATCACCAACCCATAGCAATTGTGACTATTTGCGCTGCATGTGCTGTAATTGAGCACACAAATGCATCCCTCAAAGTGCAGGTACCCAAGCATGCACTCAAACTGGCCTCCATTCAATCCCATGCCCATGCGGGGTTACTACTCCACCCCAAAGCTCAAGCACTGTCCCTTTCTCTTTCGAAAGCTGAAGACAGTGCCTATGAGCTGGCTGCTCGGCAACGCTAACTAAACATATCCACAAAGAGAGGAGAAACCAGCGATTGAATTCATCGATTGGGCTTTGCAGGCCAGTCATCCATCGACTTGCGGGTGAAGTGCACCGAACACCCATGCGTGCAAAGGTCCCTCACTGCCATTACTCCTGCCTGACCAGCCACCCAGGTTGCCCTTAGCCTACAACAGAACTACACCACACAAACGCAATGCTGCACAGACATGAGCACACGAACATGCACCAGAGCAGTGTACACGCATGCATGAAAAGGAGTTGATCTTCTCCTATCGCTTCAAAGCACTGCTCTCTATGCTCAGACTGTTTACAAATAACTTCTCAGGGTGCACGCACAACAGCTGCAGACGCAGAGATGGACACATCAAAGCACATGCAGACCATTCATGTGTCAAATGAAAAAAAGGGAAACGCAGAGGGGACCAAGACGTTGTTGCCTGTTATAACTGTTAATTACATCTGGGTTTCATTCGCCCCTCACTGTTTTCAAAATTGCCCTACTGTCTTCCCCCGAACAGAAATATGCCCCTTCATTGTCACTGTACTGGGACTGAAAGATGTCCCAAAGGCAGCTATAATGACTGGGCGTTCTATTGGGGTGAAGACAGCAGTCAGAATGCCTCGAGGCGAATTCCAGACTTGCTCCTGAGAATGACGAGCAAATGCATAATATGCATCAGCACGTGCAGTCTCTGAAATTTTGTTCTGGAGTTTTCAAATGCAGAAGGCCACTATTATATCCTATACCCCAATAAAAGGAGTGATTCCACACCATGCTATTCCTCTGCCAACGCGCTAAGTCTCCTACTGCGAGTGCCGTCCCAATGCCAGTGGAGCTCTAATCCGGACTAAAGAAGCAGACTCAACCTCTGTGCAGGTACACACTGGAGCTCGAATAGAGAACTCCAGCAGAAGGCTGACACTGACACGATCCCCTGGGCCAGACCGCAACAATGCAATTTGTATCTTTAAAAAAAAATACGCCATCATGGACGAAAAAAAAACGTCCAGGTTCATTCATATCTTCGTGTGAAGCTGTGAATACAGCAGCGCCGGGCCCTACTTGCCCCCCTAAGCTGTGGCCAAACCACTCCAACACCCTTACCACCTTTCCTCCATTCTCCAAGTTCTGTCAGATAAAGGGTGCATTTATATATTCCACTCAATTTCTAGATCCATTCCTATCATGCACACCAAAGTAAGTTTTTTTTTTAAGACTTTTTCACCATTATATCATCAATTTTCCAGAGACATTATTGCTGCCGATCAGTTCGCAATCCGCCCCTCATCGGCTATTTTCCCGGTCAAAGTCTTCCCCCTGTAATGTCAGTCTTATCCACAGTACATCCCCCAGTGTGCATCGGTTTTCATTTTCCAAAGCCAGACCCCCCCAAGTACAGCCGTAAACCTGCCCCCTGCCCCCTTCCCCCCCCAACTATGCCTCTACAAGGAGATATTAACGGAGCCGAAAATTCTCACAAAGGCACGTAATTTTCGATCATGCGAGCTCCCAACATCCTAGGCTGCACGTAATTTTCCATCAGGGTTGTAGGTCCTGGGACCCACAACCTTCAAGTACGAGCTCAAAGGAAGCAGAAGGGCCAACCCCCTGATATTTACTAGGATAACAACAAGATGCAAGAATGCTTTTTTTTTTTTAACCAGTGGCAGAGGAACGGCAGGGAGAGAAAAGGAAAGACGCTGAAGGAAGGGGGGGAGGGTTGTGGGTCCCAGAGGGTTGTGGGTCCTGGGACCCACAACCTTCACAGTACGAGCTCCAGGGAAGCAGAAGGATGGACCCTCATGTTTGTACACTAAAACAAAAACGAGATGCAAGAATGTCTTTTTTTTTTAAACCAGTGGCAGAGGAGTGGCAGAGAGAGAGAAGGGAAAAGACGCTGAAGGGAGAAGGCGTGGTGGGCACAGACAAGGGAGAATGTGGTCGATAGGAAGGCGAACTGGTGAAGTCGTGAAGGCCAGAGAAAAAAAACAGCTGCTTAACAAAGGGAGAGAATACAGGGGAGCAGCAAGAGGACACATCAGCAGCATAGATCTCAATCTGTACACGCACAAGCCTTGTCAGAGATCACCTGGAGAATACTTCACTCTTGGTCTACATTGCAATCCGATTAGGGAGAGACTGGGACAAGAATGGGGGCAGAGAGCTGTTGGGCACTGGTGTGGGTGAAAGCATGATAGCACAAAGGTTAGCTGTCTGTTGTTAGCTGTTGGGCACTGGGATAACTCTCATAACAATGGCCAGGGCGATGGTCGCCGATTAGGGAGAGACTGGGACAAGAATCGGGGCAGAGATTCGGCCAGAGATGGAGACTGGGCCAGGGACTGGTCCTGGGCCTGGTCCTGGACCTGGGATACAGGAAGGGAAGGATAGCGCTAAGGATCGGCGGGTCAAGGATCAAGCCAAGGATTCGATCAATGGGCCCAAGATCCTTCCCATGGATCGGCCCAAATATCAGGGAATGGATCGAGCCACATCTTCTGGGCCCAAGGATCGGGCACTAGGGGAGGGGCAATGATTAAACCCACAGAGAATTGGGCCAAGGAGGATCGTTTTAGGGGAGACATTCAGAGGCGGCGATAGTTGGCTAAAGGGGTTTAGGGGAGACAACAGAGGAAGGCCGTCGCCCTTGTGGGGGGGGGGGGGGGGGAGAAGAAAGAAAAGGCAACAGAGGTTTAAAAGAGACTACCGTCTTCCCCCGAACATAACGCACCCTAAAAATGAATGTATACAAGCTATATTTCCGGCCAGATACCGCCAAAATGAGGGTGCGCTGTGTTCGGGAGAAGACAGTAATATTGGGGGAGATAGTTGGAGGAGGAGGCCATGACTTACGTGAACATGGCACAACAGGACGAGGATATGGATGGGGAAACTACATGTTCAGGAACGACGCAATGCGTTTGGCTAAAGATAAGACCCCTCTCTCTAATCCGTCAATCCTGGGGTCTGAATCCCTTTCTTCCCCATTAAGGGGGGGGGTAATTGGAAGTCAAGACTTACAAATGAAAAACAAAAGAGGCTGACGGCGAAGGCAGGGATATCATGGCAATCATGGAAGCAAACGGCCACACACACACTCAGACACATATATATAGAGGCTAGTTGGCTCGCCCGGTCATGCAACACAACCCGGGCAAGTCGCCCGGGAGTCAGCTGCACGGGGCAACCCCGTGCAGGCAAAAATCAGCCCTTTTTTATTTTTCTGGGTGGAGGTTTTCAGAGGATGGCCAGAGGCGGCCAAATCCAGGCTCCTTTATTTTTTTTCGAGCGTTGGCTGTCAAGGGGTTGGGAAGGCGGGGGTATAAATTGGTTTTAAAGGGGGCTAAAGGGGTTAAAGGAGGGTGGCCTTCGTCTGATTCTGTTGTTTTCTTTTCTATCTTCGATTCTGTAAGGAGTTCTGATGTGACCCTCAGCCAAAAGTCGTTTCTATTCTACGCTACGTGGTTCACCCGTCCGTGCAGCATATGGCAGTGCGACTCGGGCAAGTCGCCCGGGGTCCAGGCAAAAATCGCCTTTTTCAACAAAAAAAAATTGGGTGGAGGATTTGTGAGCATGGCCAGAGGGAGTCCGAATCCGGCTTTCTTTCTATTTTCGAGCCTTGGCTGTCAATGGGGGGAGGGGGGGGGAAGGGGGGTATAAATTTATTTTTGAAGGGCTCAAGGGGTTAAAAGAGGGTGACTTTTGCTTTTTCATCTTCGATTCCTTGTCGAATTCTGATGTGACCATCAGCCAAAAGCCATTTTTGTTGCGATTCTACACAACACATTTCTTTTCTGGAATTTTTGAATTTTATTTCTCTTTTGGGGGGCCCGCTGGGGCTGCCCAGAACTCTGCCGGGGGTTCACGCCCGGGCAGGCACCCAGGCAAGTATCCGTTAACAAGTTGGGCGCCCGGGCACCCGGACAAACAGCCGATATATATATAGATATAGATATATAGTCACATAACGACGACCTAAAAGAGCGCATAATACCGTCATGATTCGACCAAATCCCAGAAACTTTATAAGATAATGGTAATTGATTATTAGAATTTGTAAAAAAACCTATAAATACTAAATAGAGAAATCAGAAGATATATGTTTTGACGATATACGGGTACTTAAAAGGGCAGTGGTTGGTGGTCCCCCCCACCTCAGGGTATCAGTTGTCGGGCAGTCGTTGATGCTTAACCACAACCGGGGTTAAGGTGGATTATCACTTACACTGTAATCATAAGTTTAGGGGATTCTGCACTGTTGAGGGTTCAGCCTCCTCCTAATGATGAGTAGATAGGTGAAATTCCGACGAAACAGTTTGTCACAGCCCCCTCTCGTTTGTTGTCCTCTTCTCCCTCCCTCTCTGCCTACAACAAACGAGGGGCTGGGACAAACTGTTTCATCGGATTTTCACCGACTCATCAGGCGGCTGAACCATCTGCAGTCTGCACAATCCCGTATCCGATGATGATACTGTTAAGTGATAATCCACCTTAACCCCGCCACCAACTATAGTCAATGCTGCTATCTTTCACCCTCGGGAACTCACTGCGGTTTGCATAAAACTCTCCGCAGTCTGAAGCCTCCCCTAACCCATGATACTAAATGGATAATACACCGTAACCCCGGTTGAGGTTAAGCATTGATATATATTTATATATATATCGTAGAAAAGAACGACCGGTTGCAAACCACCAGTCCTGACCGACCGGTCTTTCCTCACCCAAAAAAGTAGCGCGCACATGTCCATTTCACTTTTTTTTTCTCTTTCTTTTGCATTTCGATTTCTTTTCCTCTTTCTTTGCACTTCATTTGTCTCTCTCTTTCTTTGATGCAGTTGATACAAAGATCAGGTCGACCGCGCGCGTAATTGCATGGGGGTTGGGGTTGGGGTTGGGGTTGGGACAGAAAAAGCGAAAGGACGGGAAAAGCGAAGGGAACAGCAGAGAAGGGAAACGAGAAGACACAAGTGATGAAGAAGAAGACGAAGAAGAAGAATAGTGGCAAACAGGTGGAAGAAGCCAGGGATAGGATAAGCGGGGAAAGCAGAAGGTGAGAGCAATTCAATATAGAGAGAGAGAAATAGCGAAAAAAAAAAAAAAAAAAAGGAAAAGAAGAGCAATAAACCCGTGTTGTATTCGAATTTCGAAGAGAAATGGTGAGAAAATAACAACAAACCGTAATATACAGCAACGTCGTGCAACGACTGCATTTTCGCATTGCTGTTTGTTGTTGTTTTTCCACCATTTACCCCCGAATACAACACGGGTTTACTGCTCTTTTGTCCTATCATTTTCCTTTGTCCTTTGTCTCGTAGCGAACAATTCCCTCAGGGATTCTTATTATTAGGATTTGTTTCTTTTTCTTTGCCTCAGGGATATTTTTTTTTCCTTTGCCTCAGGGATTCTATTTTTTTTCCCCTCAGGGATTCTTATCTTACTGCAAATGAACCTCACGTACGGAATAGAGATAATTACAAAGAGAGAAAGAGAAGGATGTCGATGGGTGAGCTTTGAGACTTGGCGCCTTCTTTCCGTAGTGACGACACAGAGAGAGAGAGAGAGAGAGAGAGAGAAGGAGAGAGAGAGAAGGAGAGAGAGAGAGAGAGAGAGAGAGAAGGAGAGAGAGAGAAGGAGAGAGAGAGAGAGAGAGAGAGAGAAGGAGAGAGAGACAGAAGGAGAGAGAGAGAGAGAAGGAGAGAGAGAGAGAGAGAGAAGGAGAGAGAGAGACTAGAGATGGAATGTGTTCAACAGACGAAGAAGGATTATAGGGCACGGACGGGATACGACAGAGTCAAAATAGGATATTAAGGGGGGAAAAAGCTGTGTGACAAGGTCAAAGAGGGGAGAGGAAGAGTGCGAAAAAATCAGACAAAATGACAGAGGACGAAGGAAGCTGACAAAGAAAAAAGAAGGAACAGGCTAGGAGCAGATCCAGAGAGATGGAAAGAATAATTTAGAGATAAACGAGGCAAGAAGGTGAAGAACAACGATGAAAGAAGGATGCAGAGAAAAAAAAAAAAGATTAAAAGCATATTACGATGTATCCGAGAAACCTCTGCGAAACATGCAGGTAAACAAGAACCCGGCGAGAAGAGGCGGCGGGCATAAACGAGAAGAAGACGGAAATGTCGATCTAAGAGATCACGAGAAGAGCCGAGATGAAGGCGAGACGAGAGATAAGAGGAGATGGAGACTGACGGAGTGTGACGGAGAGTGACGGAGAGTGACGGAGAGTGACGGAAGCAGCTGACGGAAGGTGACGGAGGAGGACAGAAGCTGACGGAGGGTGACAAAGGTGAACGAGAGAATTGTCCCAACCTTCCAATTCTGATGAGAGGCTCGAACGATCGACCCGGCGACCCATTCCAGGCGACAAAATCCGACGACTACTGTAAAAACCCCTGTTCCGTCCCATGTATATATGATTACCTAGTAGGTATGGGGGGGGGGCTGTACTGGTCATCACCGAAATGAGGGCCGCAGCGGCCCCAGATGAGGGGGTGTGACGCCGTGAGGGGTTGTCCTGGGAGGGTGCCGGGAGTAGCAGGCGAGAGACACCTCCGTGCCGGAAGGGTGCGCAGAGAAAAGGTACAGACAAACGGCCGATCCACTTTTGCCTGTGACTCTGTTTCTCCCGTCGCTTCCTCCACGGCGACTTCACGCTCTCTCTCTCTCTTTGAAGCCAAGCAAGGACGCATGCACACACACACACACACACACACACACACACTCTGTACAGACAAAGGAAAAGGAACGGCGGCCGCAACGCTTCCAGTAAATCAAACGCGGCAGCACGTTCACTAAACGCCTATAGAGTGGAGTGCACGTCGGCCCCTCGTCTTCTCCCCACGACCGCTTTTTTTTTTTTTTTTTCAGTTCTGACCGCTCTTTTCACGTCACACTCGCATATTTCCACACACACATTTCGAGGCGACCGCTCTTTTCACCTCGCACTCGCATATTTCCACCCATTTCCATTTCCTCTGGGCTGGGCTGGGCTGGACTAGAGCGTGCCGCCACCTTCTCGTACCTCTCCGCGCCGGCCGCAGCAGCTGCATTGCACACTCATCCGGCGGCATCAGTTGGGCACGCAAGCGGCATTCACGAGATCTTAGGCTCAATCCCCATTGGCCTCACGTAGCTTCCTGGGCAAAGTTGGCGCCCGCCACCTAGAGAAAGGCCGTTGGTCCCCCTGAGCAGCATTGACCCGGGACTGCTGATGTTCGTAGCGGGAGGAGACCGGAGGGGAGGCTCAGCGACTGGCCCATTGAGCTTCGGTCCTGATGCGACCGGCTGACCCCTGGCCTGTATCGCCCACCTGCTGTAGCAGGTTTAGCACCTGCTGGTGGGTGCAGCACCTGCATGTTTGCTCGTTGGAGGCTTGAACACGGATGTGGCTGCTACCGTTATACTATAATGACAATGAAACTACTACAATGACAAAGAAAAAGGCCTGAAAGGCCATCCTGTCCTCGGGGTGGGTCCCTTGTCCAGTGACGTCATGGCTCTCTCCGCCTTTGCCCACAATTCTGGGTTTTCTGATGCCTTTTGCACATGCACCCCTTTGACATGTGGTTTGCATGGGGCGCCCCCTAACCTATGTTTTCTGTTGGAGATGTCTTGGTCGCTCAAGTTTCTAAATGTTGCGTTGCAGGTTCTGACCACCTGCCTCTTCTTCTATAATTTCTTTTGCACCCGACAACGAGGGTGCATTCCAACCGAATAACGCTGCCCGAATGGGTGGTACACTAAGTGGCGCCAGGCGCGACCTTTGTTCCTTTCAACGGTCGACTTGCTGCAGGGAGGCCTGAGGTCGACTTGCTGCAGGGAGGCCTGAAGGTGGTGCTTATGCGCGGTAATTGTTGCAAAAGCCGATCCAATGTTGGTGGTTGATCAGGCTAGACAGAAATGGACCCTGGTTGGCTCACCTGCGATCAGGGCTGTTGTGAACCGTCAGTGTGTATCATGGCTGGTAAAAGGGGACCATGTGACTGCGGCCTTCTTAACGCCCCGGTGTCGGGCGCATCGGTCCGGCACCGCACGGGGGCAGCGCGGGACCCTCCCGGCCGCGTCACGCAGGAGTTGGTTTTCATAACCCTTCGTCGCAATATACATGGAGCTTCCGCAAGCCGCTCCGGCCGGGTGCGCCAGCCATACCTCTCGCGAGCCCCTATGACAGGATAGGGCCTATGCGAGGCACGACTTACCTACACCTTATGGGAGCTGTCACCTCCCTTCGGTGGGCGTATCCCCGCCGAGCTACCAGTCCACAGTACGAAAGCTAAT